AACCAAACCAAACAAACAAAAACACGGCTATACACAAATCTATTCCAAGCAACTTCGTCTCCACTTGCATTTTGGCCACTTTAATCAACGACTGGAGAGTGCTAGAAGTTAGAGCGATTGATTTCTACGAGTCTTAGGCCGGTCCCAGAGTGACTCTGTAGGTCTGACATGAAGCTCGCCTGACGCACGCCGTGTGCGTGTTAGCACAGCCGCACTGTGGGTTGGCGCCTGTGTCTCAGCGAGCGCAAGGAGGGTAGCCGATTTAGGGTGTTGTGGTGGGGTGGGGGATAGTAACAGTTAATTTCTTTCTTTTGTCTGATCTCTGTCAAATCGGCTTGCCCAGCCTCTTTTTATGGAACTAAGCTTAAAGACCCTACAAGGTTATTTTAGTAACAATCCGTCACAACAATAGGTTTCTACTTCGCAGCTTTTACATTTTAAAAAATATATAATTTATTGAACCTGGTGTGAAAAAGGATCGGTGCTTCAAAGGTGGACATCTCGAAGAAAGATCAGAGGCAAGATAAAGTGAAATCGCCATTGATTACATAAGACCTTCTCTTTTAGACTTTGTTACAATCTTTGCATTTTAGCATATAAAGAGTTCATCGACAGAGTGTTAGAGAGAGAGAGAGAGAGAGAGAGAGAGAGAGAGAGAGAGAGAGAGGAGGGGGAAGGGAGAGGGAGAGGGAAAGGAAGAGGTATTGTAACGAGGGAGATAGTGAAAAGGGGAGAGGGAGGATGAAAAAAAGAGAGACTGAGAAAAGCGAGGAAGAGAGAAATATATGAAAGTGGAAGAGAACTCCAGCACATGTTTGATAACACTCTTACCGCTATGTAATCTCAAAAGCTGTTGCATTTTTTTCTGTTGTAAAAGTTGAGAAACGTCCCCAGGCCTGACATGTCTATCTCCCATGCCATCTCATGAGCTCATCTTGGTTCCCATGTGGCTAAAAACAGTCTCTTTGTTTTCATGTCTGGATTTTTCCTCCGTCTCTCTCTCTCTCTCTCTCTCTCTCTCTCTCTCTCTCTCTCTCTCTCTCTTCCTCTCTCTCTTTCTCTTTCTCCCCTTTTTTTAAATCTGCGAGACAGGGTGCATGTGTATATCATTTCTGTTTGCGATCGATGCAACTTATTTATTTGGGGGCTTCAGCTTGTTAGTTCTTGCTGCTGTGTTAAGTAAAGCTCTTTCTGTCTGCTGCTGTGAATCCTTCCCCTATCTTCCACACCCCCTCTCCCACCACTACCCTGCCCCCACCCCCCCATTTTGCTTGCTTTGTAAATCCTGTTTAGTTTTCGTCACCCTCATACACGTATCTTGTTGTTGTTGTAGTTGCTGCTGTTGGTGGTGTTGTTGTAGCGGTCATTCTTGTTACTGCTATTGTTATCGTGATTGTTGAACATGATATAGTCATAGTGGACTCTGTGTTTGCTGCTGCATCTTTAGATACTTCTTGGTGTCAATTCTTGCAAGTCAGCAAATTTGTTCATCTCAGGGCAGAAATCCCTTTTTTTAAAAACTGCAAAGAGAGACACACAGACAGACAGGCACACAGACAGAGTGAGCGAGCAAGTTATCGAAAGAAAGAGAGAGAAAGAGATAGAGATAGAGAGAGAGAAAGAGAGAGAGAGAGAGAGAGAGAGAGAGAGAGAGAGAGAGAGAGAGAGAGAGAGAGAGAGAGAGAGAGAGAAAGAGCACAAGATAAAAATGAAGAAACAAAACTAATGTTTCGCAATTCTTTTTAATGCTCAGAATAGCTCATTAGATAATAAACGATTGTTTTATACATGGATTTGTCTTTTGCATGGTCACGTGGGGTAAATACAAAGATGTACATTAAAGAGAATTTTCTTCTTTTTCAAGTGTTGTTTTTTAAAGGCAAGTTTCACAGCATTAAAAAAGCGACATTGTTATAAATTATTAGAAGATCACAAAGTCATATACAGCGTATAATAGGTGCCTGTAAAAATCGCACACTAAAATAAACATTTTACAGATAGAGAAAAAGAAGGAGAACAACAATAACACAAGTAATAACAATATACAACAGTAATGTAACAGCAGGAGTTACCTCTGAAATAACGACAGCAACAACATAACAGTATGAACAAATAACAGTAAAGTATCAACAATGATAAAATGCATTAGCTGAGAGTAGCAGCAGTTACAAGAACATCCTTACTCACTAATGATGGAGGGTACGATTCGAACCCCTGTTTTACGTGGAAAGGATTTTAATGGAAAAAATGAACATTCTACTTGTAACTGAACAAAAACTGCTTTGTCATTGAGGGTTTAAATAATCATTGGTGAACAACATTTTAAAGGAACAAATGCAGACAGGAGAGATTATTTGTGGTGTAAACATTTTACACCATCTTAGACCTAAATTTTGATGATTTATGGAGAGAGTCGCTCTTTTCCTGCTGTAAGGGCCAACCCGGGAAGATTGGGATACAACATCCATGGAGACATATGGAGATGTTTGATAAAAAGACTTTCCACCTCAGACAATATAAATTATAATAATGCCTTCCGCTGGCAACAGCAAACGTATAAACTACCCAGTGTCTAACAGCAAACGTATAAACTACCCAGTGTCTAAATAAAAGAGGATCCATTTAAAGGGCAGTGATCGACTAGGTCATGTTGAGACCAATTTCAGCTTAAAACAAATATAATTCAACCAGGTTGGATGTGAAATCCGTCAATACAAAGGAAATCAATTTGCTTGTTCTAGAAATGTCAAGTTGAAATATTTTTAATTAAAACAGAGTAAAACTCATTATTTGCAACTTTTTAAAATTCACCGATAATTTGTTTTTGTGACATTTAAGAACATATTTTATAGAAACTAACATTGCCAAATAAAGTAACAATTTGAATCGTACAGATTTCAACACAAGTTAAGGACCACCTTGACAGACAGCCCTGATTTTTAAAAATTCCGAAAAAAAAGACAGCAAGGAATGTTTCGAATTGTTTTGCTCTTAAAGTGTTAATGGGTTACCCATGCGTGCAGCACGGAAATCGTCGGGGAATTTTAGCCAAATTTGCTGTTTTTTTTATCGACTTGTATGCCACACCACGGACATTCCCCCGTTAAAATTTCTGGTGCACGTCACAAACGGACGTACGGTCTCGAGCTGTGCTCACTTTGGTGGCAATATAATTTATAAGCCGCCGCTTATGCAAAATTCAGTATCGCATCAATATGCCACTAAAATGAGAGACTTTGGTCGTACCAGAGCTATGGCATGGCTTCAGGATTTTGTCAGCCCTGGAAGTTGCCAGAAGGCTTGCTGTGCCACACTCTGTCCTGTCATCGTCCGCCTCAGGCAACGCCATCAAGCCACTGGATCAGTCTAAAAACGCCCACGTGCAGGCCGACCCAAGAAGTATGTCGACCCACTCAGAGTGTTTGCAAATGGTCCTTAACTTATGTTGAAGTCTATAAGTTCCAGCTGTTAAGCATTTCTATCCAGACAAGCTTGAATACACGTACGGCTGGACTTTTTAAATAACACTGAGGCATGTTTCTGGGTCTATTCCTTAGACCAGTGGTTCAACATCGTGTTTCAACTGTTTTTTGTTGGGTTTTTTTAACAGGAGAAACAAAAAACTTTTATTTCTTTATGCTCGTAACCCTGAATCTGAAATTCAGATATTTAATATATTATGACGTAGTACGATGGTATTATGTAACCCACTTTTTAAAATGCTTTGTTACATAAGTTACTGCATAATATAGACATTTGAGATTTGCCCAATTCCTAGTGATTCAATGACGGCGTCTAGGCGTTTGAATAAAAAACTGTTTGATTGTTCGTGGGTTGTTTTCATACACTCAGTCAAAAAAACACAATATGATTAAATTGAGAATGTGTTGACTGTTTATTTATAAGCTTTCGGCTTTAAGGTGTTGTTCAAACCTTTCTTGCAACCATACAAGGTCCTCACTTGATGCATGGAGTGTAGCCCTACCCTGCTGGAACCGGGCGTCCTCCACAGCATAATCCTTTCTTCTCCCCCCTCCCCTCCACACACACACATACAACATCTCTACAACTTTGTCAGTCCGGTGAAATACCCATTTCTTGATTGTGACAGTTGGTGTTTTACCGTCCTTGTCCTGAAACCAGGCTTGGTGCTTTTAAGGAGTTAAGTTTAGAGTTTTACGTAAATTTAATAGAGCTTTTTAAAAATTGATATTTCTCGAATATGCTAGATGATTTTTTCATTTTAAAAAATTGATGACCTCTTAATTGAATTTCATTTGTGCAAAGGTTTGTGGAAATTAGTACAAAGATGGTAGAGTTATTGCCCTTTAAATTGGTCCTTTTTCTAAAGACATCCTGTATTTCACCACATACTCTGATAGGCAAGAAGATCGGCATCTTATTTGGAGCCAGTCTTTGGTAGGCCTACTGCAATGTTGGGCTCATAACCGAAAGAATGAGGATTCAAATGATGTTGTGTCTTAGGAAAGACACTTTACACCAATTTTCTTCACTTTACTCAGCTGGGAATGGGTTCCCTGTTACAGACAGCGAAAAATCTTCTCATATCGTTGAGAGCTTAAATGGCTGCTTGAAACTGCATGCTTCTTGGGAAGCCTTAAATATAATACAGATTATAAAGGCCACAGAGTTTGCTGTTGGGCGAATGCGCTATACAAATACTATTATTATTTATCATTACCAGCTGGAAATAGATCAGAGGAGTCTGTGAAGTAGGTCACTGTGCCACATGGTCAGCTCAAGTTATTGAAGTATAAGATAGAATGTATCGACAGCACTGGTGCTCCACCCTCCCTCGGCCGAGTGACATAGACATGAAGTGAGACACCAGCCACTTATCTGCAAGGCTTCTAGTGAAGTGTTGAAAAGTTGCATATGACAAAATTACTTCCTACGTAAAAAGAAGAATAACGATTACCTGAAAAGTTTTTCCCCAAACTGTAAAACGGTCTTTCCCATCTGAACTTTTGCAAAATGAGACATACAAGATGTAAAGTCCAAAATGTTATTTTGGTGTCAAAACCTGTACCCTCCATTAGCTGTTCAGCGTCAAAACGTTATGTGGTCAGACCTCGAGGGTTCCTGAAGTACTTGTATATCCATCAGTAATCTTCAGGTGCAGAAAAAGTTGCTTCTGGGAGGTGTCATTTCTCATTGCACGTCATGAGTTTAAAGCAGACTTCTGTGGGGCTCCACTGCTCTCGAAAAAGAACATCCTATTCTCATAGAATCTTTACCTTCTGCTATTTCAGAAAAGGAACACAAGGAGCCTCTTTTCACATGGTCGCCTGGCAGCTGTAGCCTGAGCGTTTGTCTATGAATATCTTTTCATAGTTGGCAGAAGTTCATAGTTTCGCCTGTTGGTGAGTAGTTGAGTATCAGTGACACGCACATATCCATCATCAACAGGACTTATCCGTGGTCCATGCATATAGATACGTCACTCACAGTTAATAACATTTAAGACTTCATAAGTTAAGACTTCCAGAAGTAGAGACCGTTTCTATCACAAAAATCCCGGGTTGGTATGCTCGATGATGGCTCTTTTGCAGTACTTCCGAATCATGGCGTAGGCCTCGGGAGATAGACAACAGTCCTGGACGTGTAGCTGCTGCAGCGAGGGACACCGGTACGCCACCAGCACCAGGCCCTTGTCTGTGATTGCGTCACATGACTTGACGCTCAGCTTCCGCAAGCTCGGGCAGTAGATGGACAGTGCATACAGCCCTTCGTCTGTGATGTCACACTTGCCGACATCTAAAGATTTGAGTCGGGGACAGTTCCGGGCCAGGAATTCAATGCCGCGGTCAGACACACCTTCACAGCCCCGCACGTTGAGGTACCGCAGTTTGCTGCAGTGTTTGGCGATGTGCAGCACACCCTCATCTGATACCTGTGAGGAACAAAGATGAGAGAGAATTATCGTAGTTGCAAAAGTTATAATAGCAGGTTGATTATAGTAGTTATTTAAGTTAGTGTAGCTTTTAAAGATACAACAAGCTAGTTCTTAAGGTTATTGTGGTTGTTAACTTAATAGAAATTGTTAAACTTACAGTTATGAAGTTGCAGACGCTATTGCAGTTTTTAAAGTTTTTTAAGTTATAGAAATTATTTAAGTCATAGAAGTTGTTACTGTTTTTTTTCATTTTTAAAGTTAAGGAAGTTGTTAACGTTAATATAGTTTTCAAAGTTATATATGAGTTGATTACTTTGGCGCTCCTCAGTGGCGACGAGGCTCTTACAGATCTGTGTGTTGCTCTTTAGAGAATATATCTATCTATACAACTCCAAAGGTCTTGGAATTAAATTCCTGCATGTGGTTGAATGATGCATCTGATGTGAATGTACATTTTGTCAGCTTTACTTCTCTTTTCATATTGAATTCTAATGAGAGTAATATATAATTTAGACCTTTTTATGTATACCTGCATGAGTTTTTATGGTCCTGTACAGCCAAGAAAAATTTCCCTTTGGGATTATAAAGTATTATCTTATCTCATCTTGTTGCAGAAATTGTTAAAGTCCAACATCCAACTAGACGCAATGGTTGTCATTTTGCCGGTTGCTGGTGTGTATCTTAACATCGTCAAGACTCGCCCGCATGAGAAACTACGAGCCTCCACCATTTGCGAGTAGCACAAAAGAAGAGAGTGAGCTATTTAAGTATTTAGTAAGTTCAAAACCCTACTAGTTGTAATGTACACCACTTCAAAGGGAGCCCTCAGTGACCCAGAAAGCTTTTTTCCTTTTTTTTTTTAAAAGCAGGTATTTTTACGCCCAAATCAACACAATTTAGGTAATTTAGTAGGTGGGCTTTCGATTCCGTCTATCAGGACCAACCCCATCTGAAAAGGATACAACATCCTTACTGAAAGATCAAGAAACTCGACACAAATTTCTCCCCACTCGGGAATCGAACTCGAGTCTCCTACGTGCGACAGCGAAGGGCTTAAACAGTACTCCACAGATGCCAGTCCCCACAAAATGCCAGGTTGGATGGAAGTATTTCACGAAGGTAAAGGAGAACAATTGGAACCCCACTCATATTTGAGCCTCGGGCTTCTGTTCGAAGAATCAAGTGAAAACTATGTCATAAGAAACTGAGAACATTGGTTACAGTAAGCTGTCCATGCAACAGACCACACGATAAATGTAAACAGGAATTTTTTTTTAACGTGTCATGGAGTGTGGAGACATTCCGACGTCATGACATTGGTAGTCATGTTTAGACATCCTAAAGCCTGCCTTCTAAATGACCTAAATTGTGTTGATGGAGACATTAAAAAAACAGCTGCATGTAAACATTTTAAATTAAAACCCAATGTCAGGATTTGACTGACCTTATCACACTTGGCCACACTGAGGTAGCGCAGATTGTCCCGTAGCTTGGACAGTTCCCTCATGCCCAGGTCTGTGATGTTGTGGCAGTCACTCACACTCAACTCCCGGAGACTGCACATTTCAGGAGGGGGGGGGGGCACAGAATATTTTAAAACACACTGCAGACTGATGATGATGATGATGACGATAATAAGAATAATAAAAGGCCCCAATAAAAAAATAATAGCCCCTAATAATAATAATAAATAATAATAATAATAATAACAATAGTTACAATGATTATGATGATAATCTATACCTATTATATTTGTGAACGTTCGTCACTTTGGCCGCCTAAAACTTCCGAACCACTTAACTTTTGATTTTGACAAAATCAATGGTGGTTCAGAATCATTTAAAGGGTGTACAGGGTTTTTTTGGGGAGCCTGAAGTCACTGTAGTTTGATTTTCAGCTTTTCGTTAGTTTCGTTTAGATCTAATCTTGGGAAAGTCCGTCTTCTAAGACGCCATTGTAAATAAGTGAGGTTTACGTTCACTAGCCGTGCGCACTGTGATTCCACACCTTTGAAATTCTTGAGTGTAAAACCACGAAAGTGGAATAGAGAATCAATATATTATCTATATTATCTAGACCTCCTAATTGTTTGAAACTCTCAAGATTTATAGCTCCATTCCAGTAGAGTGTAAATATAGAGCCTAGAAGGTCATTGACTTTCAATTGATGTTAAAGCGCCGATCTTTACTGTCATCGAAGGGGGGTCCAGCTAGATCTAGTTTTAACATTAAAGACAAACTTGATAGAAAGTGAGAGGAAGTACACTTTTCTCTGGCTTGTTTTCTGTTGTTTTGCTTTCTG